CACCCCAACAAACCAGCGCCTCTCCGAATCAGTTCAAAAGTTTTGAAGAAAAATAAATTTTATATAAATACAAAAAATCTCTCTCTCTCTCGACAAATGAAACGTGTGTGAGCAATCGACGGTGGACGTTATTTCTCAGATTAGGGTTACGATCACTTACGCCACCGCCATGTACGTTTCCAGGAAAATCTCCGACGTCGATCGTCGTCTTCTTCTCCTTCTCATAATCCCGTCACTCTCCCTCCTCGTCTTAATCTCTTTCTCATCTCTCTCCCTTGATCCTTTTCCAACCCTAGCACCTCTTCGTAACCTAATCTACACTCATCCCCTAACCGTCACCACCGAAACCTCCGATTTCACCGTCGATTCGAACCCTAGCGACGTTATTCCGGCGGAGGAGATGGAAAATCAACGGCGGAGGAAGAGGGAGGAGTTGGAAAAGTCCAAGATTGCGGTGTGTTTGGTAGGAGGAGCGAGGCGGTTCGAGTTAACCGGACCGTCGATTATGGAGAAGATCTTGAGGGTTTATCCAAATGCTGATTTGTTTCTTAATAGTCCTCTTGACCAAAATTCTTTTAAACTTCGGTTGCTTAAGGACGCACCAAGACTCGCGTGGGTTCGTATCTTCGAGCCTAAGCCGATCAATGAGACTGAGCCGATGGTTCGAGTCCTCACACCTATGAATTCGCCCAATGGCATTAAGGTAATTATCAACTCTTTTTACTTCCTTACCTTTTTAATTCTTACACGAAATTTCTATTAATTAAATGCTGGAGTATTTATGGAAAGTATATTTAAGACTTTTAAGTACATAAAATTCGTAAATATATGATTAAGGATAAGAAAGTGGTCAGGAGGGGTCCGTTTAGTTGGAGAGGTTTAGGGTTGGTGTAACCGTTTCTTGATCCGTACGTTACTCATGTGAAGGAATTTTTGTTTGATGATGGGTTTGGTATTTGGTATTTGGCATTTGGTATTTGGTGTGATCACAATCCCGTCCAATATGATAATTCTTTTTTTTTCCTCGTTACTTTATAACAAAATTGCGGTCAAAAATGGCGTTTCAAAAGGTATTGCCGATGACACTATTAAGTAATTGTTGACTATATTTGCTAATATGAGTTAATTGCCTCTTTCTAGATTCGGGTTCAATAGTTAATAGTCTATGAGGTTGAAGATTGAATTTATGATTTCTTGGAAATTTTCATTGTCTCGCAAGTTTGTAGTCCAACTAGTCCGAGACTGAAATTGACCCATTACCTTATCCGGACCCACGTTTCCCGATAAAGAGGATCTTGATTAATCTGACAGCTTGTAACTTACATATATTGCTTGTAGGGAAAAAGGTATCCTGTTTTTTCTTGTATTTTTTTCTATTTCATGGTAATATATTGTTATGAAATGGTTAATGCGTGGCATGATGATGCTAATGTGTGGCGTGGTGATTATGTGAATCCCGGAAGCTTTTCGTGTATTTTTTAATGAAATATATGCTTAATGCGCACCATGCAGTAAGTATATATACATTGGTTTAAACTTTGTTGCATATACAATCTTTTCTTTCATCTTTCATCATTTCTCCTATTTAAAAACAGCAATGGTGATGATACGCGTGTACTATCAATTTCGTTTATTGAGTCGATATTATTCATAACATTTTAGAACATTTTGACATTTCATGTTTGCAAAAAGTGATTCTATCGGGTATACATGATATAATAAAATTACTCAACTAAATCTAGCATTTTAACATCTGGTAATTTGTTTCTGGTATTTATTATTTTGTTAATCTACTATTTTCTCATGTGTTTTACTTCTTGGTCTCAATGACAGGGCTTATTACAGTACTTCAACCTTGTAGAAGGTTGCATCACGATGATAAAGGCATACCAAAACGAGAATAACTTCACATACGAGTGGATAGTCCGGACCCGTGTTGACGGTTACTGGGCTGACCCGCTCGACCCGGAATACTTTATACCTGGTCAGTACCTAGTCCCACCTGGATCCTCTTACGGTGGTCTCAACGACCGTTTTGGCGTCGGCGATCTCAACACTTCGACGGTAGCTCTCTCGCGCCTCTCCCTCATTCCCGACCTCGACTCAGCTGGGTTAACTCATCTCAACTCCGAGTCTGCCTTCAAGGCTCAGCTCACAACTCACCGTGTCCCTTACGTCACCAAACCTCTCCCTTTCTGTATCATGACCGATCGGACCTACGATTTTCCTCCGGCTAGATACGGAGTTCCAGTGGCGGCTCTTTCGAGCCATGGACCGTTGAATGGTGCCAAGTGCCGTCCTTGCACGGTCGCGTGCAACGGCTCGTGCGTGGCGGAAGTGATGGGAAAGCTGAATAAAGAGTGGAGCTGGACGGAGTGGGAGAACGGGGCGGTGGAGCTTTGCGACGGACATGGGGAATGGGAGGAAGGTTGGGAGAAGATTTTTGACAAAACCGCCGGTGAAAACCTCGCACTTGCGAGGAAACGAGTCGGTGGTTTGGATTCAAGGAGATGTGTGGAAGAGTTTGAAAATATGAGAGGAATGACCGTTAAATGGGAAGCTCCCGCCTCTGAACAGATTTGTATGTTGGGTTTACGGCCCAATTAGAACATATCGGGCTTTAGGTCCAATTTAATTCGCTAACAAATTTTCCCAATCTTTTTTGGTGTTTTGCCTTTTTGTTTTGTTTGATATATATTTCAGGTTACATTTGATAAAATGCAAACTAGATATAAGTGCACATTGAAATGCAAACTATATCTTCCTATTCTGTGTATATAAATCTACCACATGGAAGAAGCAAATCTATTCGTTATTTGAATCTGTTACAGGATCCGATTTTTTCCACTAGTGCAGATTTTATACATCTTTTACGCATCATTACGTGTACATATATATACACACTCTTAAGGAATAATGATTTTTTAGTGTTACTACTGAATTTTTTTGCTATGGATTTGGAAGACGGGCCAACCAAGTAATACACGGATATGTATACATAACTAAGTTATCTAACACTCACGTGACATTGCATTTGGCTGTTTTGGCAGATGGATTGGAATCTCGGCACATCACGCGAGGAAAGATGCGGATTTATTATACATGGCCGTCTAGAATTTTCGACAATCACCAATTATGTTTTGTTTCGAATTAGCTAATCTCATACCACTTCCGTTTAATATTTTCAATATAGATTAATTTTTCATAAAACTTTCAGTTTTCAGTTAACTAATGACATAAAATTATAGTATGTGTGAAAAAAAAAAGGAAAAGGACAATAAACATAATCCCTTCAATGAAAACAAAGTTTATCTAAAAATAAAAATTAAATGCATTCAATACATGTAAAGAAACATGCTAAACCACGAATACACAGCGAATAGAACTTCATATGAAAAGGATGGATCGTCTTAAATGTTTTATACCAAATTTAAACTGTATGGCAAGCTCTCAACATCCAGTACATTAATGGTATCTTCTCCAAATAATGACGACATATCATTATTATTCATGACCATCAATCCCAAATTCACCACAAAGAATTATAGTCAAAATATTTGGAAACATCATGTGGACACTTGAATCGAGAAATATCTCTAAAATCCGATCACAGAGTCTGTGGCTCTTAACATTTTATTTCAGGTCAGTTGCAATTAAGTCCAGAAATCAATTCACATGCTTTAAAAAATGTAACTCTGTTAGCGTTAAGTAAGGTCCTCTTGATGTTTGTGGATCTACGCCGAAACACTCGTTTTAAAAGTCCACACGCTTGCACTACCTAATTATCTAATGCTTATTGTAAGTAAAATAACGATTTAAGGGCTAGTTTAGATTATACAATTCTATATCTTTTTATTTCGTGATCATGGTAGGACAAAAGTGAAGTGTCGTCGTGAACAAGAAAACCGTGATTTTTGATCCTTTGATGCATAGTTGGAGCTGCCCTTCTCTGACACGTACCAGCTCACCCCTCGTGCTTTTGTTAATTACTAGACACATAATTTTTAGTCTAACAGTATATTAATATGATGAAAGACCGGTAGGTAGTATATAGATTATCATAGATGTACATTGTAAAAAATACGAATTAGTATGATGAATATAAAGTTTGAAAGTCTTGGGTCAAATTGATTTGCTGTTATCATCAATTAAAAACCATTTCCATTGGATGTGTACATGTTAGAGTTTCGTCCCGTGTATATTCATTATACCTTAAACACTAAATGCCGGTGAGATCCCTCATGTGCTCATCTTCTGTCGCTGATAGAGTTAATATAGGACACCAATAACTTTAGATTTGTTTCGCCTTCTTTGGTTGAAGCCGATCATCTTTTACTTTTAAAGGATTTGTTATTGTTTATTTGTTTAATGATTTATCTATATAAGTTTACATTTAATTGATATAAATGTTTATTTGAACGAATCAATTCGCCGAATGTAAAAAATTTCTATGATTAGAACTTATAACTCTATATTTTTCGTATTAATTATTTAATTCGAGTTGATGATCGTTCATAACCATGTGAAAACAAATCTGTCTTAACGGCTTAACGCGTCTAAGCCCCCCTACCAATATAGTTTATGGAAGACTCAAGTATGTTTTTTAATGAAATTATGTCATAAATAATACGATACTACCGAGTGTGCATTACTCTTTAGAAAGAAGAGCAGTTTTGGATTGGAGTTATAGCTAGGGTGGCCAACCCACGTGTGTCCCCTCTCCGCTTGAAATGGAACATTTCTTATGTCTCTTAACTCGTTAAATCTGATTAATGTATTCATTAATTATTCACCTTATATCATATCTGTGATTCTAGATATTAGATAACTATCAATTACATACGATATCTATCTCCTTTAACCTTAGAATCTATGTAGTTATTTACATAACAATGACATAGTCACATAGCATTGAGTTTGGCTCTCTAGTTTATATAAAAGTGTAACTCGGAAGTTGATCTAACGTTCAGGTAATCAAAACGTCTAATAAACAGGTGTATATAATCGTGTAAAATTGAAAGAATAAAATAGGTACTACTATAATGTATACTCTTAACCGAACTAAATAGAAATATAGTTGGGGAAATAACAAAGCAATTATTCTCTAAAAATAGTGTAACTCTCCCACGTGCACATCATCTCATACTTCATTACCTAAACCCCACCACTTGCGTATATAAACGCTCCTTCTTCTTCGTCCTCTTTAACCATTTCAAAATCGTCAAACCATCACCAACTCTCTCTTCTCTCTCTCCGCCGAGAATGGTTGGAGTTTTCCGGCGATCACTCTCATTCCCTAACAAACCTTGCGGCCGATCATCTCCACCGTCAAAGCCACATGTCTCTCACCACACAAGATCCATCAGTCTACCCTGCCGATCTCATCCCTTAATCTCCCACGTTAACCACGAGATCTCTCAGCTCAAATCCTGGTTCTCTTTCGTAGGAGAAACTCACCGCCGCACCACCTCCTGGATCACGGACGGTCTCAGCCTCCTTAAGGACGTTCAAGAAACGCTCGCCGATATACTCCAGCTCCCACAATCTCAAGAATCTCTACGAAACCGTCCTGTTTTCTTCGAGAATCTTCTAGAAGATCTTCTCCGATTCGTTGACGCTTACGGTATCTTCCGTACGTCGATCCTCTGCCTCCGTGAGCACCAGTCCGCCGCTCAAGTCGCTCTCCGTAAAAAAGACGACGAGAAAATCGCCTCTTACCTTAAATCTCGCCGATCTCTCGCGAGAGATATCGCGAAACTGACGTCATCTATCCGCGAGCCGAAGACGAAACACCAGCACTGCCACGTGGACAACGTTAACGGAACGTACGGTGACGCAGAGCTTGCGTCAGTTATAGGTGACGTCATTGAAGTCACCGTTTTGGTTTCCGTCGCTCTCTTTAACGGCGTTTACTCATCTCTCCGAACCAACAAAACGACGCCGTTTATAGGGTTTTTGAAACGATCCGAGAAAAAAGAGAAACTAGACGAAGGAATCGTGGAGTTGAAGCAAGTTGAAGAGAAGAGTTTGGTTGGTTTAAGCAAGAAGAAGAGCGAAGAAGTAAAGAGTTTGATGAAGAAGATGATGGAATTGGAGAATTCTATCCATGAAATCGAGTGTGAGAGTGAGAAAGTGTTTAGGGGTTTGATTAGCACTCGAGTCTCATTGCTTAATGCCCTAACACATTAACTATATATCACTTTCATTCTTTTTCTTCTTTTTTTTTTCGTATATTTTGCTTTTGTTGTCACATTATTTTTATTATTTGTATGAGTTAACTACATGAAACAAAATAGAAAACAATTAAATAAAAGATACTTTACATTTTCTTGTATCTCTAACTTTTAAAATCGAACTATGAATAGTGACTTCTTCACAAATCAGCTGAAAAAAAAAAACAGAACAAACTACAAAATGTGGCAGAAATATTTGTATGCCTAATATTTGGAGACGTTTTTATTTGAAATTTTGTTAACAAATTTTATTTTTCCATCGTATATACTAGAAAGTTTTCCAGCTTAAAGCATAACCAACCCGAATTATAAATGAATCGTGGTTTATTACCGTATTACCAAACTTTATTGCCTTTTTGTTTTTGTTTTAACATTATAATTTAGAAACATACCGAATTTTGATCATAGATTTAGTTGCTTCTACGAGATATCTGAAGATTGTTATAATTTAGTTTTATTAAAAAAAAAGGTTCTTTCACAAGAGAAAAAATAATCGCGTAATTAAGAACCAAGGTCACTTATTTTCACAAGCCATCTCATGATCTCATCCCATGGCCATGCATTTTCATTTATTTGGTAGACAACAAAACATTAAACATAAGAACACAAACAGCATGCGTGAACAAACTCACTTGACACATATACTTGCCGGAAATAATTGAGAGAAAAATTAAATTAAAGGACATAACTGCATAAGAAGACATATAACTTGTAAGCATTTCACGTCGATGGATTCGTTTTGATATTTTGTGGCCTCTCTTAAGTTTGAATTAGTGATAACTCAGAATGCCACCACATGGTTTGTTAGGGATGCTTTTCAATTATCACCTTGATCTGATTCGGATTAGGACTTAATTATTTGACTAACACCGTATTAAACGTGGGATTTGCTGGAAAACAAACCGTAGTAATTTAACAATTAATTGGCTAATTATTTCCTCTTATTTAAAAAATTAGAATCTTTCCCCTTTTAGCGGCGGTACGTGTTGGCTGCTATGACCGGTTCGACCTGTGAATTCAAGAACCGGACTAATCACTCATACGATACTGAATCCGGTTTACCGTTGGGCTATATAATTGGGTTGGTTGCATTGGAATGCAACTTGCGTGTATTATTGTTGTTTGATAAAAAGCTTTACTTAGTTTGGAATAATAATGTTATTACAACGATGCAAAAATTGACAACTCGGATTTGGTCATGACTCTAAGCCAACTCCCAACAAAGAAGATAACACAGATGGAAAAAGGATATTGGTCTTTTCAATATGAATGATTAGTCTTTGATTAATTTAGGACCCGATTAAAAGTTAATACCACTATTTAGGATGAACTTTACATGTTCCTAATGATTAAGGACTTCAAATATCTTACCCAATCATTGGTCACTATTTGTTATACATCAATTATGTATAATTGGTTATTGTTGTCAATAACTCAATATGTATAGTTGGGGTTTATTTAGATGTTAGGTTTTATCCATCATATCAAGAGCCGGCCCTAAGCACAGGCTGGTGAAGCTTGTGCTTGCGGCCCTCAAAGTATATCTATTTTATCGGCCCTCAAATAGCTGAAAATCACTCTAGTGCAGCGGTAAAAGAGTTCAAATCACTCTAACATGCTTCAGGTTTTTTGTTTTATTTTTTCACTTACTTAAAAAGTTGGCCCAATAACTCTTTTGGGCTTGTGGCCTTATTATTTTGTGCGCCGGCTATGATCATATCAAGTGAATGTTTTTTTTTTTTTTTTTTTTTAACTTCCATTAGAAATAATATCAAATGAATGTTTTTTATAATCGAATGTTTTCTTTGTGTGGTTTGAAATTTGAGTATAAAACTTTGTGGGGCTGTAATGTATATCGAAATCCTTTTTTAATACACAAGTATATGCATGAGTAAAAGCAATGGTTCGTTTCACGCCTTAACATTTCCCCCATGTTTAAGTCTTTAATAAGACTTCGGTTTCTATTATTAACAAATGTCATTGAAGACTTCCCCTAACAAATAGGCCTTACGATACGGCCATATTTATAATAGGCCCAGTTTAGCCCAAAAGTTAATTCAGAGCCCAATTCCCAATCCTCAATGAAAATGTCTCATTTAAATAAAGACCTAAAGAGCATCTTTAACGCTAGTCTCTTAGAGTGATTTTAGCTTAAATGCAGAATTAAATTAAATCAGAAATCTCGTTTATAACTAAGAACGTCTCTTACTTAAGAGACAAAACCAATGTTAAGAGACGTCCACGTGGCGCTTTTTTTTCTTTCTTTCTTTCTCTTTCTCTCTCTCAAATCGCGAAAACAAAGACGATTTCGGAAACTCATGCGAGCACCGATCAGTATTTCAAGGTATGAATTTCTATCTGATTGTGTGAATTGATGTGATTTAAGTATGTACAAATTAAGCTTCTGCTTGAGATCGAAATCGAATGGAGTAGAAAAAAATCTCAATGGATGCTGATGACGATTTCTACAGCGGCACCGAAAACTACTCCGATTACGCTGACTCCGACGAATATGATGCCGACGACGATTACGAGTTCGTTGAAGACGCCGCTGATGATTCCGATGACCTTATCTTCCGCCGCCGCCAGGTTTTTCCTCTCATCTTTCTGGATCTATTTCTTAAGCAAATTGAAATTAATGTTGTTTCCAATACAGAGATAGATTTTGTAGTCAAGTTTTGGTTTCGGAAATAATTGCAGGACTTTTCTGTAATATTGATGATGATTGGAAATGAATTGAGAAAATTTATAGATTTAGAGCTTCGTCACTCTATAATGTGGTAGAATTGGTTGTGGTGGTTTTGAAGTTGTTTGACTTAATATGAACAATTCACAAAAGTAGGTCACTAACTCGTCTTGTAGGATTCTCAGATTTATAACAGCCTCTCAAGGTTTTTGTTCTTTCATTGAGATATAGTCACTAGTATCTGTAAATTCATTTCCTTCCAAATTAATATATATGATTGTTAATTTGGGTCTTTGTTCATGCCTTTGTCTGTAGGCTATTCGATGTGAAGCCTTGACGCACATGGAGGGTGAGATAGAATTTGTACAGATAGATCCAAATGACTTGTATCCCTATCTTCTTATGAACGTTGGATCTGGTGTTAGCATTATCAAGGTATTTGTTTACATTTGCTACTTCTTTCAGAAACTGTGTATCTGGCTCCTTAAACTTCATAGACCTGTAGATTTCATGCAATGGCTTTCAAATTATAGGTTGATGGTGAAAGGAAAGTTTGAACGTGTGAGTGGGGACTAATGTTGGCGGTGGTACCTATTGGGGATTAGGAAGACTTCTAACGAAGTGCAAGAGGTTACAACAATAGATTTAACTCATTGTTGAGTATGATTTCCGGGAAACATCGGGTACCGTTCAAGTTTGATTAGGTACGTTGAATTTGTAATCAAGTTTTGTTCTTTTTTTCTCAGATGTGTTCTCTTATGTATGGTAAGAACTAAGCTATTTCCCGCAAAGAATACAAACGAATGTATTATTTTTGAATCAATGTGTTGGTATACTTGGGGAAAAATGTAGCTATCCGAGTCGATACATCTGTGATATTATGAGATGTATCTATCATCGTCTTCAGAATCAATATCAAACATTGAACTATCATCCTCAATGTCATGTAGTCCGTCGCCGCATCAACTCCAACTCCAGCTTTTTATCGTCCAAGATCTTCGTCGGTGAGCCGCTGCTCGTCCATGTCCCCCTCTTTCGCTGCCTCCTCGTGCAGCTCTAAGTGTCCTTTTAACAAAGTAGAACCACTTCTTTTTGAACTGATTTTTGTTGACGTGCGGAAGAAGCCACAGCTCGTCTTCATAAAGCTTGATGTCTGATATGAAAATGCTTTTGCCATGTTCTCAATTTCTTTTATGTTCATACACTCAAATGTAACCAAAACTTCATATACTCAAATCAATCACTAAATTTTATACACTCAAATGTAACCAAAATTTCTTTCTTTCTTGTCTAGTTTCATACACTTAAACACTTTGCTATATATATGTTGTAACCAAATTTTAAAAAAATCAAAACACTTAAAAATTTTGAAAACCAAAACATTTCAAATTTTTAAGAACCAAATCACTTCAAAACACTTTTTTTGTCATATGGACAAAATGAAAGATTATGCGGAAATATATATGTATCTAGAGAGAATATGTGAAGAACAAGAGAGAGAGTATGAATGGATTGAGAGAATTTTCGAAGAGTTTAAAACCAATGTATTGAATTGTAAATTTCCAATTGTATGTTTACAACCATTTAAAGAGAGATAAAAAGAGAATGGATCCGTTGGTCTCGAAGTGACGGGTTGGTGAGAAGCGACTTCTCTCCTTTGTGTTCACACTTGGAACACAACTTGATCTTCAACGGCTAGAAGATATTTTTGACTTGATCTTCTAGAATCATCTTGATGGGCTTCTCTTTATCAATTGGCCTCACACTTCATGGACTCGAGCTCGGGCCTTGGACTCTCCTTCACACATATGTACGGACATGTACGGAATAGCGTTTGTAGACTCCTCGGCTTATTCATGTCTTGATCAATACTCCCCCTCAATCTTAGACTTATGGAATAGTCTAAGATTGGAAACTCATGTAACACCACCTCATTAAAAACCTTAGTAAAGAAAACCGCGTGGGACAAAACTTTACTAAGGGAAAAAGAGTGTGATGTTCATGAGTTAAGAGGACTTGAGATCAAGAGTGTGTAAGGTCCACAAGTCCAAGTTTGCTATTGATGAAGTTGCAAACTTTGAGACTTGCGGCCTTGGTGAAGATATCCGCCAATTGATCTTCACTTCTTGTGTAACATGGGAGAGTAACTCCTTGAACAATCTTCTCTCGGACTTTATGGCAATCTACTTCGATGTGCTTTGTTCTCTCATGAAACACCGAGTTTGACGCTATGTAGATCGCGGCTTTGTTGTCACAATGCATGGTGATTGGTGTGTCTTGTTCAACCCTTAGATCCTTGAGAAGAGCCTTGAGCCAAGTGAGCTCATTTGTAAGTTGCTTCATGGCTCTATATTCCGACTCCGCGCTTGAGCATGAAACCACTTTTTGCTTCTTAGTCTTCCAAGTAACCAAATTTCCACCAAGAAATGTGCAATAGCCGGTTGTAGACCTTCTATCCATTCTATCTCCGGCATAATCCGCGTCACAATAGCCTACTAACTCGGTGTTTGAGTTCTTTCCCATCCAAATACCTTGACCGGAACTTCCCTTGAGGTATCGGAGTATCCTCTCTACCATGCTCCAATGATACACCGTAGGTACTTGCATATGTTGACTAACCTGATTCACGGCGAAACATATATCAGGCCGTGTATTAGTTAAGTAGATCAACTTACCTACAAGTTTGCGATAAAGTGGTGCATCATCAAACTTCTCATCCTCTTTCAATGATACACCGTAGGTACTTGCATATGTTGACTAACCTGATTCACGGCGAAACATATATCAGGCCGTGTATTAGTTAAGTAGATCAACTTACCTACAAGTTTGCGATAAAGTGGTGCATCATCAAACTTCTCATCCTCTTTCTCCCCCTTTCGATCGACCTTGTAGCCTTCTTCTAGTGGAGTCTTGGCCGGTTTAGCATCCTCACAAGCTGTCTCATTCAACAAATCAAGAGTGTACTTTCTTTGAGATAAGAAGAGACCCTCGGGTGAGCGGCACACTTCTATCCCTAGAAAGTACTTAAGTTCACCGAGATCTTTCATATCAAAGGTAGATTTAAGAAAGTTCTTAGTAGTGTTGATACCTTCCTTGTTGTCTCCGGATATGATAAGATCATCAACATAAATGAGAACAACTACTATACCTTGTGGACTTTGAAGAGTAAACAATGTATGATCGGATTCGGATTTGTTGAAACCATGGTCCTTGAGAGTCCGGCTTAACTTGTGGTACCATGCCCTTGGGGATTGTTTCAAGCCATATATGGCTTTCCGAAGGCGCCATACCTTTCCCGGATCAATGGTGTCTTCGAGGCCCGGTGGTGGAGTCATGTATACATCATCTTTGAGTTCCCCTTGCAGGAATGCATTCTTCACGTCCATTTGCCACAATTCCCATGATAGGTTAGTAGCAAGTGAGAGCACTACTCGGACCGTGTGAAGTTTAGCGACCGGAGCAAAGGTTTCCTTGTAATCGGCTCCATAGGTTTGTGTAAATCCACGAGCCACTAACCGTGCCTTGTACCTCTCTATGTCACCATTACTCTTGTATTTGATTGTGAAAATCCACCTTGAGCTAACCGTCTTTTTCCCGGAGGGAAGTTCTTCCTCATCCCATGTGTGGTTGCGAGTCATTGCTCCAATTTCTTCTTGCACCGCATCACGCCATTCCTTAATTTTCATTGCCTCCTCATATGTTTGCGGAATCTTTACTAAGGAGATTTTGCTTAGAAAGGCTTGGTGATCTTGTGGCACAAGGGCGAGAGAACATGTCGCTTGAATAGGGTGAGCTATGGCTTGTTGATTGAAGTAAACCCTTGGGTTCTTCCAATTGGATGGACGATTTTTTAACCTTTCACTTCTTCTTAGTGGTTGAATAGGTCTTTGTTCAACTTGAGTAGCTTCTTCATCTTCACTAGACTCACTTGAGTCATCTTGAGTCTCTTGATCTTGACATGAAGTTTCCCGATCTTGGGAAGGACTATTATGAGTTTCTTCTTCATTGTCTTCATCATTAGACTCGGTATGTGGAGTTGATTCATGATTTTGTTGGTTCGGGTCATGACTTGATCGAGTAGGATCATGACTTGGTCGAGTAGAATTCTGGTCCGGTTTATTACTAGCCGTTGTTGGTGAAGTCTTGTTTCCCAAGTGGTCCAATATAAACCTTAGGCTAGTAGCACGGTCGGATGGTGAATATGCTAGGTCTTTGAGACTCTCCCAATCCTTCTTGTCGTGATATCCTTGGTCTTCAAGGAACTTCACATCTCTTGATACATATGTTCGGTTGTTTGCCGGATCATAACATTTGTATCCTTTTTGTGTTGTTGAATATCCAATGAACATACACCGAGTACTCTTCGCATCGAGCTTGTTCCTTTGCTCTCCGGGTACTAAGACAAAACACACACAACCAAACACTCTTAGGTGATCAACAAAAGGTGTAGTGTTATTTAGTACCTCAAATGGAGATGAGTCTTTTAAGACTTTGGTTGGTGTCCGGTTGATAAGATAGCATGCGGTCATCACCGCATCACCCCAATATCGTCTTGGAACACTTGTATGAAACATCATAGATCGAGCTACCTCCATTAGGTGTCGATTCTTTCTCTCCGCCACTCCGTTTTGTTGAGGAGTATACGGGCAACTTGTTTGATGCATGATTCCATGTTTGGCTAGGTGTTCTTTGAACTTATGACTCGTGTATTCTCCTCCATTGTCGGTCCTAAGTACCTTAATTTTAGCATCGAATTGATTAGTGACATAGTTTTGAAAATTTTTAAAGGCTTCAAACACTCTATCTTTAGAAGGTAAGAGAGTTATCCATGTGTATTTTGATTTCTCATCAATAAAGGTCACAAAATATTTATTGTTATCTCTAGAGACACATGGTGAAGTCCAAACATCCGAATGCACTAAATCAAAACATTTCTCATAAGTAGTAAAGGACTTAGGGAAAACCGACTTGCAATGTTTACCAAGGATACAAGCTTCACAACTAGTGTGATCAAAAGAAATACTTGGTAAGATAAGCTTAAGAGCACGAGAATGAGGATGGCCTAGCCTAGCATGCCACATAACATTAAAAGAGACACCTAATTGCGATTTAAAAGAAATAGGAATAGAACTAGAGCTTGGTGACACATCTTCAAGAACATAAAGTTCTCCTTTTGAACCACCTTCTCCGATCAACTTTCCGGTTTCAATATCCTGAAAATACACATCATTAGGTCCGAATATAGCATAGCAATTTAGATCTTTAGTAGCCCTTTTAACTGAGAGAAGATTAGAAGTAAACTTAGGCATATAAAAGGCTTTAGAATTTTTATCAAACACTCGTAAATTGCCTATCCCTTTGATTGGAACCTTATCCCCATTAGCTATAATCACATTTCCTAAAGCCGGTTCTATGTTATTAAGAAGATTTGGATTGCTAATCATGTGATGTGAAGCACCCGAATCTATAACAATAGAACTATTAGTAGGTTGATGGGAAAAGTAGGTGATACCGGATTCCTTAAGAGATGCAATGGATTTGATGAGAGCCTCTAAGTCCGACTTCCTTACATAATCCCCGGGTGTCATCTTGATTCCTTCTCCTCCCGATTTTGAACTGCCGGATTGATCTTGTTCATCTTGAGCTTCTTGAGAGAGATGCGCTCTCGGCTCCTTGAACTTAACCGGTTTGAGATGTGGATGCAAGATCCAACATTTGTCTTTGATGTGGCCTTTCTTCTTGCAATGCTCGCACATCAAGGACTTCTTGTCTTCAAACTTGTACATGCTTTTGTTGGCCACCAGTTCTCCTTTATTTGCCGTTGCAAGTTCTCCTTTTCCACCAAAGAGTCCGGAGGATCCTTGTTCCTTTTGAATTTGAGAACAAACTTCATCAAGACTTGGAAGCTTCTCCGATCTAAGGAGGTGTTTAATGAGGTCGTTGTAGCTTGGATTCAAGGTGAGTAGAAGCGCGAACACCTTGTCTTGCTCACGCCTCTCATGGAGAATTTTTGGATCGAGTGTACCCGGCCTTAAGCTTTCAAGTTCGGACCACAAAGATCTAAACTTCCCAAAGTGCTTGGTGAATTCCAAGTCTTCTTGACTTAGCTCATTGATAGCTTTCTTCACTTCAAACACTCGGGTTAGGTTGGATTCGTTGCCGTACACATTCTTGAGTGTATCCCACAACTCCTTTGCCGTTTCGCAATAGGAATAGCCTTCAAGAATAGAGGCTTCAAGGGAGTTTTGTAGAAGAGCAAGGACAGCTTGATCCTCTTGAAACCACTTATCTTCTTTGAGAGTAGTGACTTTCTTCCCTTCTTCTTCTCCTTCTTCTTCGTCTTCTTTCGGAGCTTGAGATGATATGACATGGCTCCAAAGTCCTCGACCACACAAGACAGTTCTTGTTGTTCTTGACCATGTTAGATAGTTTCTCCCTTGAAGAATCACCGAAGTAACCAACTTTTGAGAGTACTTTTCCATGGTTTGAACACGTTTGGACCGATGGATAAAGCGTTTACCCGCCGGTTAAAACAAATCGAAACAAGAGAAAATGAAGGATGAGATTGAGCGAACTGAGATTAGAGTGAGAATAAGAGAATAAACGGTGTAAAAGCAAGATCACGCTCTGATACCATGAAAGATTATGCGGAAATATATATGTATCTAGAGAGAATATGTGAAGAACAAGAGAGAGAGTATGAATGGATTGAGAGAATTTTCGAAGAGTTTAAAACCAATGTATTGAATTGTAAATTTCCAATTGTATGTTTACAACCATTTAAAGAGAGATAAAAAGAGAATGGATCCGTTGGTCTCGAAGTGACGGGTTGGTGAGAAGCGACTTCTCTCCTTTGTGTTCACACTTGGAACACAACTTGATCTTCAACGGCTAGAAGATATTTTTGACTTGATCTTCTAGAATCATCTTGATGGGCTTCTCTTTATCAATTGGCCTCACACTTCATGGACTCGAGCTCGGGCCTTGGACTCTCCTTCACACATATGTACGGACATGTACGGAATAGCGTTTGTAGACTCCTCGGCTTATTCATGTCTTGATCAATACAAAATATTCTATAAATCAAGTTTTTAAAAACAATTGTGGTTTATGTTATATATGTTATAAATTGTATCTCATATATGTTTTAATTTTTTTAATTTGCAACAATTATTAAATTTTCTATAATTATAAATTTTTTTTTTATATTAATATTTTTTTTTATAAGAACCACATGTTAAGAGCCTACCATTAATCACACAAAAATCTTAACTCAAAAATACTATCTCTTAACAATCACTTTTACAAATAAATTACTTAAATATTGCTAAGAAGTATTTCTAAGAGACTACCTATAATCATGCTCTAACCCTCAGAATCCACACCAGTCTCACCATTATTTTCTCAACAAAAACTCGTTTATTTCTCCCTTCTCTGATCTCTCTTCGTTATAACAATAAACGAGTCGAGAATTTTTCTTTAGGGTTCTATTCTATCTCTCGCTTCAATTCGTTCTGAGCCACATAGAGGTGGCGATCTTAGGCGTAATCTGAAAGCTAAATTCGATTCAGTCAGAACTTTTGTCGAAGATGGAAAGACAAATCATGGATTCTAAAAACGTGCAACCGAAAGAGGAATATTTGCCTACCATTACCAAGCAAGTTTCAGATGAACTTGAGAAGAGTTGTTTGACAGAAGAAGAAGATGCCTGTTTGTCTGATGCTAGTCATAGCAGTAAGAAGAGGATAAGGGAAGATACGACTTGTGAATCAAAGAAGAGTAAGAAACAGAAGCCGAGCAAAGAACCTTGGTTCAAGACGTTATCTGATGATGACTGGCTTTTTGGTAACAATCAGCAAAAGAGTCTTACTAATAATAAAGCAGCTATCAAGAACGATGAAGACATGATCAGGAAGTTGCTGCAGAGATCATGTGGAGATTCCTTGTTTCCTAAGGCTCAGTTTTTGCCTCAATTCGGAATTTTTGTAGTACCATATACAGTTCCGTTTTAAGTCTCCATATTGTTTTCTTATTCCTCAGAGTTAGCCTTAGCCTGTGATCTATTCGGATATATTTCATATCTCTATTAATTAACTCATAATTTGTAGTATATATTTTTCCGTACAAGAGTTTCCTTTTTGTAGATTTCCTTTTCCTTGCATTAGTTATTTTGTATATTCCCATCATGAATATCTCTGTTAACTCATAATTTGTATATACTTTGTCGTACAAGAGTTTCCTTTCGTTGTGTATAGGTCTTTTGTATATGCCCTGTCAAAATAAATAAAAGAACAATTCATATATCGTTTTTACACAGTCTCTTCTGAATTATCCCAATATTGTCTGTGATAATAACGACAACAAGAATGAACAATGAATTTTAGTCTTTGGTTTCAACTACAGTAAGTTTAGTTTTTACTTGCACTAAATTTTCAAATTGATATATTTTTCACACTAATAAACTTAATTAGTATGAAACCATATCAGTAGTATTACCTATTCTTATTATTATTTTATTTGTGTCTAAAAGTTTTTTTTTTAAATTAGATAAATCTAAGCGTGGATAACACCTAGCTAGTTAATAATATATAGTCTGTATAATAACCTTAAGAAAAGTAATATTTGATATACTGATATAGGAGACATGAATACAATAACAATAGATGTACACGTAATAACTACAATAATGTTATGTATACGAAAACGTTCGTAAACACATCCAGGTTGTCACAAAAACCAACTTGGTTGATGGTTTTGTTTAAGAAGTCTTCTCCGTTCGTGCACATTCCCAGCTTTCCCTTAATTGGAAAACTATTAAAGTATATTACATGTATGCGTGTATATATCGTATACAAATGGTATTTGGACATTTCCTGATATATGAAATCTCCAATGATGCATTAAAATAAAGGTTTTCTCAGATTACGAGAGCGACCTCGCAGCCAACAGTTATTGTTTCTTGTTGGTTTCAATATTTCCGCAGCCCATCCAAGTTTGCCGCACATGCACGCAGTCTAACAACTGAAATTTGGAAATGAAATCATTTGAAGTTCCAAAAATATGATCATGTTGTTAAATCAAGGTAATACAAAAAGATATGTAGGATTCACCTAAATAAAAAATAAAAAGTGTACAAAATAATCAAGAAAAAAATTATACATTTGTTGTGATAGTAGGATGGTTTTGGTTTTTGTGTTTCTTCTTGTTTTCTTTCAAGCGGAGAAGCTAAAAAAGGAAGCCCATACTATATGGCGTAAACTCAATAGAGTTTTAATTTGTTTACGATACTATGTGCAATCATTTATATACACTTTGGTTATTTGATCACTTGAACTTTAGTTTGAATGTAATGTCCATGATGATCTTGCATAAATTTATAATTTGCTAAGCATGTTCACCTATGTGATTAATTGGTTGTTTCAGCCATATAAGAGTATTCAATGCCAACCAAAAAAATAGGAAAATTTATCACGAAGGTGATGAGTGTAGATTTGTCGTTAGACTGTCGGAAGAAACTTAACTACAACAGCCAATTCCAGCCTGTATCTATATTCGTCTATTGACTTACCTCTACGTGCAAGTATATATATATATATATACAAACTCAAACATGCGTGTACATAGAGACACATACATATATATATTGGTGAGAGTATTTACGAGAAATTAAACCTTTAATATCTCTATAGAGTGAATCAGCCATGGATGGTACTTCATCATCTGGTGCACACGTGCGTTCAACAAGCTGGTCCGAAGACGTTAATCCTCTGTCTCGAGCCATCGAAGATCATCTTCTGATACTAAAGAAAAAACCAGAGTCCGCTCGTCGGAAACTTGGAGTTTTAAATAATCTCTACGAGGTTGTCGAAGTTTTCCTCCGTTTTCAAACGACCAAAACTCAAAAATCTTTCACCGGATTTGAAGATGTTTCCGACGGATTCATCGAGGTTCTTGATATTTGCAGCACGATCAGAGACGTTCTGATGGAGATAAAGGAACAAGTTAGGGAACTCGAATCGAGCTTGAGGAGGAGATTGATCAGAAGCAAATCAGGAGAAGATCAAGAAGCTTTCGTGGCGCGTGAGCTAGACGCTTACGTGTTTAAGAGAAGAGCATTGAGCAGAACAATTGTCAAACAATTGAAGAAAACAGAGGATAAGATGAGGAAGAAGAAGAGAGATTGTGGAGACGTCATTAATGTAATGAAAAGAGTTGAAAAGACGAGCTTTGATGTTTTGGTTTCTTTGTTGATCCAAGTCGTGACGAAGGATCAGAGAGATGATAAGAAGAGATCAAGAAGAGGAATTGTGTCGAGGGTTTTTAATAAGAAGAATCAAGAAGTTGATGCGGATGAGCTGAAGAAGTTGAGAGAAACAGAGCATGAGATTGAAGAAACAGAGAGAGAGTTGGAGTGTGTGTATAAGAAACTGTTGAAGACAAGAGTTTCTTTTCTTAATATGCTTACTCTTTGAGATTGTATAGATGTAATTTTGTTCATGTGAAGTATCATTGGCTTTAGTTTAGACAAAGATTCTGATATCATATTGTATTAAGGATATGCAAATCAAGCTAACATATATGATTGACCACAATCATCTCTGTCAAATTATTCTCATTATTGTGTAAATATTATGTTGCCTTGTATAGCTCCATTGTCTCTGTATAAAGCTCATGTAATCTCATATCAATAGAATCATCACTTTCACAACATCTTATATATTGATCTTAAGAACTTGTAAAACTTTGTCTGCAGCATTCTTAAATCATATTCAAACGATTACTTGTCAAGATCGCGAGACAAAAATTATCAGCTGATCAATGCAGTATTTGGTGAATATTTCGTAAGTCTGAGCAACATCACTCAGTTTTCTCTTCAGAAGTTGTTGCAAAACAGAGCAAGGGTGAATTTGAGATAATGGGCTTATTAATTGGGTTTATGGGCTTTATTTTATTTTTATGGCCTGTTTGCAAAATAAATAGATAATCTCATAATCATACGGGAATTGCTAAAGAATTCTGTTTTTTTTTTTTTAATCATGCAATAATGTCTTCTTTTTTTCTTTTTTAATCACACAATAATGTCTCTACACTAGATTTTAACTCGCGGTACACCGCGGGGCTATATTTTCTTAAAAAAATCAAAATGTAATTTGTTTGATAGATTATTTTGATTGTTAATTTTAGGATTTCACTCGTGGTATACTATCTTTTATAAATATCAACCCAAACCCGTCCCATCATATTACCCGTCCCGTGAAATTAAACATCATTTAGTTATTTTCTTAAAAAAATCAAAATGTAATTTGTTTGATAGATTATTTTGATTGTTAATTTTAGGATTTCACCCGTGGTATACTATCTTTTATAAATATCAACCCAAACCCGTCCCATCATATTACCCGTCCCGTGAAATTAAACATCATTTAATTATTTTTCTTTTTAATAATACTTTTATTTAAAAGCTATATAATTCAAGTCAATTTAAAAATTTCTTTTAAATGGTTCCCATAAGGTATATATACATATATATTAAATTTGTATAGAGTTGAAATAATATTAATATTACAAACTTTTTATATAATTTAAATATTATAAATATTTTTAAAAATATGCAATATATATTTTTTGTTATTGAATAAGAGGATATTATGTGTAAGAAATGTAGAAAATAAGAGTTTAATATTTTTATTATAGAGTCGCAAGAAAAATTTTTTATTTCTATACATGTTATTCGTTTATTAATAATAAAAAAAACAAATCCTTTAAATTAGATATTAACTAAAATAAACGCACCATAATTACTTATTAAGTAACAACCAATAAATTTCACCAAAAAATAGGTAACAACCAATAAATTCTAAACGCAGTAATTAAAGAATGAGATATTAAAAAAATATATCAAATAAGATATAAGAATCTTAAAATAATTGAATATCTAAATAATTTAATTGTTAGTGTCGATTTTAATGCTTTCATTAATGTGGATTTTTTTTTTTACAGAGAAATATTTCCTAAAGATTATCACATTAATGACTCAGAAAATTAAGGAAGATATGAATTTATGATTCTCGAAATCGTGTTGGTAATATCTTTAATTAATATTTTTCAAATTTAAATAATTAATGCCAATGGCATTCATCCGTAAATACATTCCAACTCCAGGATTTATTTGCTAAAAGTTATCCAAAAATATATATATAGATGATGACAACAGAAAAAAATATAATGCATGGTTAATTATTCGTTATAATTAGTAGCTTTGTCCAAAAATTAGTAGCTATACCTTCCAAACGGGAAATCGAATAATAAGATTGGTCCACTGACAACAGAATAAAAATGAATGCATTTGGAGTTGAGGGATATGAATCTAATTATAGAATTTAATTGTGGGAAGATATTAATTTGTTGAAAATAACCTGAGATATAATTCTTAAACACAAAATCCAATCCAGCATGTATTCATGCGTCCGAGCCGTCGAGGTGGTTACATTAGTGATAGAGAAATTAGAAAAAAATAAAATAATATATTTATAATATATATCTATATGTGTATTCTTATTATCCACGTTATAAAAAAAAAGGTATATTGGTATTATTGTGAAACTGTGAATAGTTTGCATGTATTTTATAGATTCTGGATTAAAAATGATTATGATTATTATTCTTTTGTTTTGCTCTAATGTAAGGCGTATATTATATACTACATTCTTGTTGATAATAAATAGATCCTCACTTAATTCATACATAAACATCTCTGACAAACACGTAACACAATATTTAAACTCTGATCCAAAATCTAAACATTTCTCATTTCATTTAATATATTCGTCTCGTCTATTCCAAATTGTTGCAATTTATCGACACAGCCTGGCACCGTCGCTCGTGCATGCATGGTGTATACTTAAACTTCAAGTACCCAACAACATAATTTTAAAAGAATTATAAACTATATAATATGAAGAGAATATCTAAACGAATCCACAATGTACCCTAATCCACGAGTGCCTAGTCTTACGTACAAAGAAGGTTCATTGTGACCTGTTTTGAATCATTTAAATCATTATTTTGATAATACCTCCAAAATGAGCTGTTCCCCAGATGTCCCACGTCCGTACAAAAACCCAAACTTAGGAACCTTCATCGCACTTTCCCTCAGATCCCTCTTACCCTCTATATATATCCTCATTCTTACACACATTCAATACATCTCTAATCTTCGCTTAAAACTCTCAAAATTAAAAGCCCTAAAAACCAATCACAAATTAGATCAAAAACTACCTTTTCAAATTCATTTCTTTACATTCTTATAGCTAAGGATCTCGAATAGATTTAGATCTATGGCTCAGATCAACTTTGAGGGTTTGAGAGAGCTACATGACTGCGTAAACTATCTCCTCGATCACTGTCCGAAAACAAGAGAATCTCTGTCTCAGCAAGGACAAGAGAAATGTACGGAACAAGTTTCAGAAGCTTCATTGAGGATGTTAGACATCTGTAACGTATCCAAAGATGTGATGACGCTCGTGAAACACAGCTTGCAAGATCTACAACTGACTCTACGTGGCAGCGAATCATCTGATGTCAACGAGAAGATAGCTGCGTATAATCGGTATAAGAACAAGCTCAAGAAGGAGACACTGAAATGCTTAAACTGTTTGAAGAACATGAAAGGAAGCGAAGGAAGAGTGGCCATGCCAATAGAACAGAACCTTCTGTTTGTAGCAGAGGTTTTGAAGGAAGTGAGAAGAGTAGTTGTGACGATGGTTGAGTCTTTGTTCTCACTTGGTTGCATTCCTTGGCTAGAGAAGAGATCGAGCAAAGGGTCTTTGTCTTCGATCTTTACCATTCGGTCTTCTTATTTGTTAGATGATGTATGGGACGAGACCGCAGTGCAAAGCGCGACTACAAGGTTGGAGGCAGCGGAGATTGCTGTAGAGGAGCTTGAGATAGAGTTGGAGTCTATTTTCCGGCGATTGATTCAGACGAGAGTTTCACTTCTTAATATTCTCACCAACTAGATAATAATAATATATGATATGTCCGGTTAGGTTTTGCTTCAAGCGGACATGTTTAGTTAACATTAAACAGATTGATTTGTAAACTTATTTCAAGTTTGCAACATCATATATTATTTTATTTACCCGTTTCCTAAACTGGCTACTTGGTTACGGACTTGGATTAAAGGCTTAAATTGAAGCCACACACTTTTTGTCTTCACCAAAAGTAGAGTCTAAATGAATCTCGCATTTTTCATTGATTAATAGCATTTTTTATTTCAAATATGATAATAATTGCCATTTACAAATTCAGTTTCATTAGTATTACTTTGTGTACTTAGATCTAACATTAATTAATTTCTAGCATTTCTTTAAAACTCGTAATCGTATCATTGGAGGCTGGATCTAAAAACACGAATCTCGCAATGCATTTTATTTCAAATTAATTTGTAGACAGCAAAATGACAACATCATCATGAAGTGCAACACAAGCAGTAACTTAAAACAGAAGCAGCAAGTCTTACAAGGTTGTGTACAAAAACAATTCACGTCTTCTTCACAGTTGTCTTTATTTCGACATATGAAGCTGAAAATTAAAAAACAAGAGACGATCCCTTTTTTCGTCATGATCTTCAAAGGTTCAGTGAGACCTAGCAGCAAAACCCAAAACCAGATTAGTCTCAAGTAGTGTGAGCAATGCGTATTGGTTACATGAAAGGTGAACTCGAGGATAACTACAAAACATCAATGTCTCAACAAAGAGAAAACTCGAAACATGTACCACTTAACTTATAACAAACATTCATGATAAACGGCACTCAATTTTCATTCACTTAATTTCCAAGAGTGTCAATGATTCATTATCGTAGATATAAATCATTCTATAGAGAAGTTCAAGATCCTCTAAACTTTCACCATTTGTATGAATCAAAACCAGATCAAAGCTACCATCTTTCTTCAAAACCAACTACATAGCGGTTAACAAGACATCTTGTTAGTAACCGACAACTTAAAACAACATTACCCATAGACATTAGCTTTCATTGAGGAATTGCTGCACCGTATAAACAGTAATGAGTGTTTACTACGAAAAGGGAGATTTTTTAATCGTCTTTCTTAACGATTCCATCAACAATACTACTAATACAGAAATTACCTAGTGATGATCCCCGTGACCGTGATCACCATGGCCATCCCAAGGGTGCCTCCATCCCTATCAATTGCCAATAACAAGATCAGAGATTCAACCACCACGAAAGAATTAGGACCAATATAAGTTACAAGAGCGAGACAAAGAGAAAAATGAAAGAGAGAGTCTTACCATAACTACAGGACCATCTTGCTTTGCCCTGTACAGAATCCAGAACCTGAAAATATCAAAAATTTGAGTTCTTAAGATGTGATTGCTAGGGAAAAATAAAAACCTAGGCGATTACTTCTTCAACCATTACAATATCTGATTCAAATCAACATCTACCTGATTAGCTCCGATACACTAATTTTACAAATCCAAATTTTTGATTCAAAACCCGAAACAGAAAATCAAATGGATTCCAGATACCAAATTCCTCAGATAATCAATTAGCCCAAAAATCCGATGATGAGATCTACATACGATCGAGATTAGCTAAGACCCAAAATCAAAAAGCGAATTAGGTGAGAGAGAGAGAGAGAGAAATGTACCACATAACGGCGCACAAGCCTTTTCCGGTGACGGTGTGCCAAGTCTTGGGAGTGTGAACAGTGACTCCCTTGTAAGTTATACCTCCGCCATGTCCTCCTCCACCCATTATCTCTCTCTCGAAACCCTAGATTCCCCGATTCGCACTTCAATTTCAGACCGAAAGCTTTCTTTCTCCTCTGCTTTGACAAATAATAATACTACCTGAGATTTGATTCCACCATGTGAGTCGCAACTTTTAGTAAGGCCTCAATTAAAAGGCTTCGGCCCAAGTTAATGACCAAAAGCCCATTTCCATATCTGTTTTTTTTGAAAAAAATCTAATCTTCAAAGCTAGTAATTAAGAAGTTTGGATACATAATCTACCACATCTCCTTTGCTGAGTTAAACTAATCTTTGTTTTAACCGTCAAGAAGACTCAAAATCAAATTTAACGATACATTACAATTATGAGTAATTAATTACAAGATCATGTTGTTGTTATACACAAACAAGGACGACCCTTTTCTTCAAAGTCGCAACTCCAAATTGTTAGGAAACTAATGACTGAAGCTGGCTCTGTCCACGAAAGAGAGAAGAGATTGAAGCTCCCTTGCAGCTGCTGCTCGTGGAAGACTTCTCCACATCATCATAATCATGGGACTTGCTCCTTCTCACAAGCATGATGATGTGATCCAATAAACTTCCATCGCAAGGAACCTTTAAAGGACCATCGATGGTAGTCCCAAACTCATCTTCAGCCATCTCCAATAACACTTGTAACATCCGGTGATTCAAATAATCCAATGGCAAAACGAATCTCTTCCCTTCGTTCGTGTACACAGCGAAATAGCCTCTCTTCCTTCTCCATTTCTCCATCAATTCGGAGAGTCTAATCCCCTTAGAATATAGTTTCTTCATATGACTTGTGTATGTGTGTTTCTTCGGCTTTGATATTTTCGTTGTGAATATATCTGTTTGCAACCTTAGGTGCCTCACTGCACTGCTTCTGTGTATATATAGCAACTAAACTATTTGGACCAAGCAGTGGATTTTGGTATGTGTGGAGGGAAAAGGATGTTCGTGCTTATTTGATTCTTTTTAGTTGCTTTTCAACTTTTGTCCACAAATTGGATCACGACCACTAGTGAATTTTTTATGTACTGACCTTCTACAAATATCGAGAGACTAAACTGCAATTTTTTTGGTTACTAACACACTTGTTTTTTTACCTTTTTTTAATTTGCCCTAATGAACTTTGACAAAGCAATATCACCACCATTTTTGATAAGGGCTCGTCATGTTGTAGACAGTATCTCATTATTTGGTAAATTGAGTGAATCAAATCAAGCTAAGCTGGTGTATTGACAAACCATAACTGCATAACATTTACATATAACTAGATCATGACCCGCACATACGTGCGGGGTTTCATATTTTAAAATTTTTTTAACAAATTTTAATTAAATATAGATTATTTTATTGTTTTTAACTTTTTATGATATATATTTTAGTGTATTAGATCTGGATCCACATACGTGTAGAGATATTTTTATAGAAATTTTTATAGAGATTTAAAAATATAAAATATTTGTTGTGTTAGTGAACTTCGTAATAGTATAAATATTATAAGTTAGAGTAATGAACAAAATTCAGTTGCGTTAATGCATAATTATATTTTAAGATCCGGACTAATTTAGTTGCAAAAGTTAAGGGGTGTTACATTTTTATTTTCTTAACTAATCAAAACAGTTCTAACAGTTTGATTACATATGTTAAATAGGATATGAATTTGGTTTTAGTTTGGGTTATTTCATGTATATTAGCTAGGCGTAACTATTTTGGAACATGAAAATATCCCGTCCGGTATCTGTCATAAATTCTTTGTCCCATAATCTGTCACGTATACGTAAAATAAAAATATTATAGTCCCATATCTGTCATAAATAGAGTATGTGTAATTGAAAATGTATGTACATGGTTACATGTGTAAACAAATTTATTTTATATAGTGCTCATAACCCGAACTCATGCCAGTTGGGTATTTAGTTTGATTTTTAATATATGTTCCCCTCCCATCTCGTCTCGTAATTTCTATTTCCATTTTATTCCATTAAAATCATATTCCAAATTCTTGTTTGCTTACTTTTAAATATCATATAATATTATAATATATATTGTGAGTTTTGCGGATTAATATGTATACCGTTAAAGTTACAAATATATTTAAACAAATTTATTAGTGTTTCTAGCTAAATTTTGCATATTTTTCTTTTCATTGTTTAATCATAATTAATTCGATTTTTGGGACTAAAATTAAAATTTGAGATACATCTATAAAAGGGATATACTATTGCTGCATAATTTGTTTTGAATGCAAAATATATAATTAGTTCACATTATTTCGAAAATTGTGTGCAATATATTATGGATTTGTTTAAGGAAGATCCGGTTGAAAAGAAAAAAAAAAACACAAAATATTTCGAAATTAATATGTACAATCTTTTGTTTAGATATTTCCGAAACTTTCTCTAAACGAAGGTCATAACGATAATTACTTTAAATTTATCATTATTTGAGTTTATTTCATAGTAAATATAAATATTTGTTAATATCTAATATCGTTTTTTTTTTAAATTGTGAAATAAAATTTTGTTTTATATCTCAAAATTTGTGAAAATATTATAACAAAACTGAGTCATAAATATTTGTATTTAATTTTTATATGAAATTTCAAATTCAATATTAAAATTCTCCATTGATAAAAAACTTTTTAAACGATAGTGTTTTTATATTTTGAATTAAAATGGTATTATTTTTCTTTTTATTTTTGATATAGAATAGTTTATTAGGATTGGTTTAGATAAAATTTTAGTTGGATATCAAATCTTATTTTTTTCAATTCTCATTGGTTAACAACTTTTTAGAATTTTTTTTTTAATTTTCGTCCATAATTAATATGAAAGAGAAAGTGAGTTTAATTTTTTGGAAACTAATAATTACTTTAAAGAATTTTACTATTTTTATTTAAATATATTATTTAAAAACAAAAAACAATAGCATTTTTGTAATACTTTACATTTTATAAGGTTATTTATGTTTGAGTGCTTCCCAATTAATAGTATAGATACTATAGCTATTACCACCTTTTTTTTAACAAAATACTAAAATGGTTGCAGAGCGCAAAGGTAGTGATAGAAACATGTGAGCGTTTCGAGCAAGTTGCTTGCTACTTTTCACTTTTCATTTTATAGTGCTCTCTTCTACTTTCATGAGTGTTCGTTGGTTTTTTCTCTCTCTCGTCACATGAAAATCCTGCAAATCATTTATAAAAACTTTTACAGCCAACAAATCAAAATCACATCACCATGATATTTAAGTGTAACATAGATAGATGGAAACTATCTTTAATCACAAAACGCTCAAGTAAACAAAAAATCTTCCGTGATCGTGCCTAGCAAAAATAATGCAACCCCATACTACTCTTTATACAGGAAAACAACCTTTACAACCACTTTTTCTGATTTGTCTAAGCTAAGCCCTGAAGTTGCAATCCCTGGTTTCATATCTCAAGTCAGGTTGATTCTTCAACGGACAAAGGCGACGTGTCCCAGAGTCAGTCTGAGCTTTAGCTGTCATCTTCATCAATGTATATGGACAAAATGCTCATGCCAGGAAAGAGTTGGGTTTGGTTGCGTGAGAAGATAAAAGGTTTGCAGCTGCTCAGTGGTTTCGGTCTTTACATAGAGAGAGGAAGAAGCATTCTTCGCTTCTTCTTTCTGGCTTGTCTCACTTGCTTTGTGATTTTCATACAAACGAACAATAGCAAGGTAACACAAACCAGGATGAATGCGAGCTGCAACCGCCTGAAGTAAAAGGATACTGCTGAAAACACCAGGAATGCTAAGATCACTAGTTCCCATATGACAAAGACTACAACATCGACCCTGAATAAAAGCAAACGAAACAAATTGCATAAGTACCACTATAAAATACAACAATAGAATCAAGATTGCAACGGACTATGAGATAAGGATGATAAGTGTATGTCAACTTTGTATTAATACCAAGAAAGGCAGGGGTACTTGACGTATCAACGAGCCACAAACCCCCTACAAGAGCAAAACTGTCTAGTGCCATGCCATATGATATCAAACATAATCATGTTTTGTATCTAAAAAACTGTGTTCTGGTGGGATTGACTATTTGTGCTACTAGTCAATTTGAAAATTTATTCAAACGAATTCAGATATGAAAAAAGATGGTTCAACGAGGACAAAGTCACACTTGTCATATCAAAACTATAGCTCGTTGTGTAGAATTCACATAGATATGTTACCTAGATTCCAATTAAATTGAATATCTAATACAACTCTAAGCGAATGACAGCAGAGAAAAAGGAAAGCATAAGCCGGAGATCTTCTCTAACCTGGAGGAAGAGAAATTGGAGGTTGAAGAAAAGAAAGAAACGGAAGCCCAATCATGTTTTGATCTAATCTGATATTCCCTCAATTGTTCTGCTAAATTCGATCTCGTTATCATCGCCTTCTCCACCAAGCCCCCGATCACAGTCCCGAATCAACGGAGAGCTTAACAAGCGTCGGAGGAGAATCACGAGATGTAGGGAAAATCTGTCACAAACATATAACTAGAATCCAGAAATCCAAACAATGGAAAAACAAAATCTGTGAGTTGGAAACTTTCGCATCAAAATTTACAGCGACGAAACGATGTTCGATTCGTTAGCAATTCGGCCAACGTTCCGTGGACTCTCTCTCTCTCGGTGTCAATAACCGGGTCGGGTTATAGATCCGATTTGGATTCTTAAGCACATACCATGGGTATTGGGCTATTTTTTTAACGTTATTGGGCCCTTTATCGTTACTATGTTTTAAAAAATATATATTTGGTCGGAACTATGTTTAAAATAAAAATATATTCGTTTTAGAAAATAGCAGCGTCGAAAAGAAAAAATAGCGATGCATCGATTGATTCTCGTGTCCCACCAAATAAAGCGAGTGCTATATTGTTGAATATTCCTGATTTGACCGCAATAAGGTAAATATCACGCCCATAAAACTCAAAACGGACGGTGAAAAAAAAGGAGAAATAGACCTAAGAACAAACGCATGACGGTCGTTACTTACTTAGCACTTAGCACTAAACTTAATTCTTTTTTTTTTTTTTTTTTCACTAAACTTAATTCTACAGGTAATTAAGTTATTTTTGGTCGTTAAGTTCAGAAATTTGAAACTTTCGAATTATAGTATTTGTATACCTCTATAGTTAGTTAATTGTGGATTATAATTTATAAGTGTCGGCTACAAGTTGTCGGTTCGCTATCACTGAAAACATTATCCAAAGAATAAGTTAGAGCTTCGGTGTATATGACAACAAGAACCAAAAAGACGAACAAGTTAGTATTGAAAAAGATAGGTTTGTTTTTATAGATGAAAAAAAAAAGGTTTGTTTTGATATGTGTGTTGGTACGTCACGGTTCGTGCTACGTCTTTATTAAATTTTCAGACCAGAGACTATACGAATCATGTGGCACGTCGGTTCATTTTTATATTAGGCGAATTTTAAGAGATGATGCATTTACCGATTAGCATCTGTCCTTCATTAATATTTTTAATATATCTTATTCAATAGGTCGAAAATGACATCCCACACATTAACATATTTCATTATAAATCCAAGTAATCGTATGCTCATTTGTCTACTCATGATTTCATTATCTACATCTAAGTTTCTCTGTAAAAAGGTGCATTAAAACATATCCGGTTACGTTCATACACACAACCTTTATCCATAAATGAGATTACGAAAGGTACCATCCCTCTCTAATAAGTTGAGCCAATCGTACTAATTAGATTACTCATCTGAATTTTGTTGGATTTGTTTTTTCGTTTAACGTATCTAAGATCATGTATTTAGAATTTCAAAGATCATGCGTCCCTGAATTGATTTGTTTTGTGAATAATAACAAATTAATATGATGATTCCTAGCGTGATAAGAATTAAAGAATCACGTTCATATTGTTTTGTTTGTAACGCTTAGAATTGAAAACAGGAACGTTATAAATGTCTCAGAATTCATTTCTTCTCGAAAAAGCTTATTCCAGCGTGGCATTAGTCAATAAGTCAAGTGGACCCACGTAACCGACATCACGTCTTTACGCCAATCAGTACAGACTTTTGGGTCCCACGAAAGGACAACTTCCCACGTTATATTGACACGTGTCATAGTTTTATTGATTAATCTCATTTTCTCTCTCTTTTTTTTTTCTTTTTTTTGTCTACATCCGTCGTTCCATTTTCTGACTATTTGCCGCTAACTCACTTTCATCGTCCGATTTACGCTAATGCTTGACACGTGTCTTCCAATCTATGGTGCGTTAAATTGTTAAATTCTTAAACTCTCTCTCTTGTCTTTAATCCATTTTTGGGATTTGCAATATAGTTCCTGTATTTCCGAATATATAAAAAGAAAGCCCCAAACTTTAAGAAAGTTCAATAATGTCATAACGACATCCCATTATTCTTTTAAAATCTCTTTTGCGTTGTCAAAAAAAAAAAAAAAACTTCTTGCTGGTTCTATATATTGAACCGTACCCTTTTTATAGTTTGAATCAGTTTTCTTTTACTTTATTAATTTATCATTGAACTACAAAGTCCACATAACAAGTGTTAAAACAAAAAAAAACTTATGATAGTCTAAAATATGAATTAAAAATAGTAAACGTCTAGAACAAACTCGTATGTTGAAACTATTTAGTTCTCACTATTTTTTTTTGCAAAAAATGTATATCTAGTTGTCATTCCTATCCATTAATCTTTAAATTAATTAATGAACTCTTCTTAATCCATTTATAAGTTTTATCTAATAAACAGAAAAATGATAATTTACGTGGGGACGAAAGAGAAGATGCCATAAAAAGGAAAAAAAAAGCGGGGAATTTTGCAATTTCAAATAATTAGATATATGTTTATAAATTATAAAAAGTGTATATAGAGCGTGAAATCCGCGGTGGATTGGACCCCTCCTGAGTCCTCAACACTATATAAGACACTTTCTTCTCTAATCTCCATCATCTCTTATTCTCATTTTGCTTTTGAATTTCAAATTCTCACATAATAATAATTTCAAATCCGTGTTTCGATCTCAAATCTTTTTTTTCCGGTAGCTATGGCGGAGGAAATCAAGAACGTTCCTGAGCAGGAGGTGCCAAAGGTAGCGACAGAGGAATCATCATCGGCTGAGGTTACAGATCGTGGATTGTTCGATTTCTTGGGAAAGAAGAAGGACGAAACAAAACCCGAGGAGACTACGATCGATTCAGAGTTTGAGCAGAAGGTTCATATTTCGGAGCCGGAGCCGGCGCCGGAGGTTAAACACGAAAGTCTCCTTGAGAAGCTTCACCGAAGCGACAGTTCTTCTAGCTCCGTAAGTTTAGATCTGATCTGTTGATGATAAACTATGTTAACATGATCGCAATGATTTTATCTAACTATATGGATTTGAGTTTTTTACAGTCTAGTGAGGAAGAAGGTGAAGATGGTGAGAAGAGGAAGAAGAAGAAGGAGAAGAAGAAGTCAGTTGCTGAAGTAGAGGTGAAAACAGAGGAAGAGAAGAAAGGGTTTATGGAGAAGTTGAAGGAGAAGGCTGCGGCACCGGTGGAGGAAGCGCATCCGGCGGAGAAGAAAGGGATTCTTGAGAAGATTAAGGAGAAGCTTCCAGGATACCACCCCAAGACCACCGTAAAGGAGGAGAAGAAGGACAAAGAATAAGAAAAATATGATTAAAAATATGAATAATGATGGTTGATTTGCTTTGTTATTTTTTATTGTGTTGGTTGATCATCTTTTGCTTTTGTGATGTGTAAGTTTGTTGGCTTTTTTGTTGATTACAGTTTTCTCTTGTATATGGTTTTTAAAAACAAAAGATCTCAAGGTATTTTAATGATATGAATATTTTCATTTGGTTAAGTGATGATATAAATGATAGTATAAGAGTTATCCAACGGCCCAAGTAAGTTATTCTTCAGGCAACATGATCTAATTTCTGTGTTGATAATCTTCAACTATTGTTCAAAGCCGTACACATGACCCCAGTTTGATTAACAATCAAATTCGTATTTAGTAAATTAAATGCGTTGGTATAGACGAAACATGATTCGTCATGACTCTTCTTTTTAGTGATTGATTTGGCATTGTGGTCGACACAACTGCTCAAAACGTGTAAGAAAATGGAACAACTTGGATATTTTTGTAGATCAACTGATGTAACGTATCCCTTATATGCTAGTTTTGATAAGATCAAATGAGATCCAGCTAATCACGAAAAAGTTTCCATTAATGGACCACATCCTTTGTTAATAATGTCTTTAACGCTCATCATTGTGGGTGTCTATAATCTCGTAAGTGGGGTTTGTTTTATGATAAAAGGGATAAAAAGCCCATTAATGACTAGTTTATTAGATATCGAAACCAAATACGACGTCGTTCTTTGAATATGACTCCCAGTTAGGTCGTTTTTCCGGTCGCAGACTAGAGTTTCGTTCACCGGAGAAGATGGAGGCAGGCGAAGCGAAGAGCAAGAAAGCAGGAGGGTCTCGTCTCTGCTGCATCTGCAACCAGAGACGACCCGTCCTCAAACGACCCAAAACCCTTCAACAGGTAAGTTTTGAATTAGGATCAAAAGCGTCGAGCTGGGTCGTTGGTTGTGTTACTCTTGTGGCATTTTGCGTAAAGCCAATATCTCGACTCTTCGGAATTGGAAAATATCATAGTTTATCAATCTACTGCTAGTTAATTTGTTTATGTATAAGTAATGATGTGAGTGTTTTGTATAAAGATATGCAGAGAGTGTTTCTATGAGGTTTTTGAGGAAGAGATTCACCAAGTCATTGTTGGGAATCGTTTATTTAAGTCCGGTGAGCGAGTTGCTATAGGTGCTTCCGGTGGAAAAGGTAATTTCTTTACACACACCAATGGTGGTTTCAGCTTCAAAGTTTGAACCTTTATATATTTTTACGAATCACTCTGTTTTAGTTTTGATGTTTGCGCCATAATGTTTTTCCAACTGTATGTTTCTTTCTTTTTGTGGCCAATAACTCAAAAATGTTTGTGCTCGTGCAGATTCGACAGTGCTGGCATATGTATTATCAGAACTAAATAGACGTCACAATTACGGGCTGGATCTTTTTCTTTTGTCTGTTGATGAAGGGATAACGGGTTATCGTGATGATTCTCTCGAGACTGTTAAAAGGAACGAAGTTCAAGTAAGCTTTTGAATTTGTGTGTAATGTGTTCACTCTAAAATTTCATTTTTTTTTGTGTTGATTTGTCATTTCAAGGAGTCTCTTTTTTTTCGTTTTCGCAGTATGGATTGCCTCTTCAGATTGTTTCATACAAAGATCTGTATGGATGGACAATGGACGAGATTGTGAAGATGATCGGTTTGAAGAACAATTGCACCTTTTGTGGTGTATTTCGTAGACAGGTGAGGAGCAAGTTTCTTCATAGCATTCCCTCTTTGAGCAAGTGTCTTCAGACCGATCTTTTTCTGATTTATGATTTCATGTCTGATTGATCTTTTGAAGGCACTTGATCGAGGAGCTGCATTATTGAAAGTAGATAAGCTAGTCACTGGACATAACGCAGATGATATAGCAGAAACAGTTCTCTTAAACATACTGCGAGGGGATATTGCTAGGTAAATATATATGTTTCTAGTGATGGTTTTTTGAATCTTGGCTATAATATGTCTCATGTCCCTTAATTGATTGATTTGTAATTTGGCTATTGTAGATTGAGTAGGTGCACATCAATCACTACTGGCGAAGATGGTCCAATTCCAAGATGTAAACCTTTCAAATATACATACGAGAAGGAGATTGTCATATATCCTTTGCTATAATATCCTTTGTTTTGCTTTCTCAAAACAACTTTTAACTGTCAACAGAAGATATCGTGAGACCTTAACATAGCGACACGTATGCTTATTTCAAGAAGCTGGACTACTTCTCCACCGAATGTAAGTTGTGCATTTTCAAAGTTTTGTTTTTCTGTTCTTAAATTTCACTTGAACCGAGCTCTAGCTTTTTATTCAAAGTCCACTACGAGTTGAATGCATAATTTGGTCATTTCTATTGGAGTTGAATAATTTATTACGATTGCAGGCATATACTCTCCTAATGCTTATCGTGGGTTCGCTCGTGAGTTCATCAAAGACTTGGAAAGACCAAGGTTCTTTGTCAACTTTTACTGTTTATATTCACCACAACCAAATAAGCAAGTAAATCTTCAGCTTCTATTATGCAAACTACAGACCAAGGGCTATTCTGGATATCATCAAATCTGGTGAAGACTTCAGAATTGCGACAACCACGAAAATGCCTGAGCAAGGGACGTGTGAGCGATGTGGGTATATTTCTAGCCAGGTGAGACTTCTCTCTTTATCACATCAAGTCATGTTATAGAAATGAACTAACAAACCGTAACAAGATGTGCATTGGAGTTAATATAATGTGCTTTTGTCTTTTTGAATGAATGATCTTATACGATAATGCAGAAATGGTGCAAAGCTTGTGTTTTGTTGGAGGGATTGAACCGTGGTTTACCTAAGATGGGCATTGGAAGACCACGAGGAAGCGGAAATGATCAGAAGGACACAAAGGCTAGGTCTACTGCAAAATCTATAGAGAGCAAACAATGTGGATCTCTGGATTTCTAAACTAAAAGAAAAAAACCAAAGCTATGAGACTGCAATGGATGATGTGACAATTGCCAAACTGGTTCTGTATAGAAACTGTTATACTTATATGCCCATAGTTGTAGAATTTGTCCTACTAAAGAATTTTTAGTTTTGCCTCTTATGGCACAGAAGTTTTTGCAGCTCGTTCTCTGGTTTAGTGGTCCTGGTTGGTGATTCTTGAACCAGCAGTATTACGCCATCAATGACCTCAACCACTAGCTGATCTAACCTAACTCATTTCAAGTCAACCTGGTTTTCATGAGTAATAATTGACGTTTACTTGAAATCGAAAACATCGCTTAATTTGTTTAGTAACCTTTTTTAACAAAGAGACCGACGAACCACATATAACCTTTTAATGTCCTGCAATTGAGACTAGTCAGTCTTGCTACTAATTAAGTTTTCTTTAACCAACCAGTTCTGCAACTTAAAAGAAAAAGCAAATAGTACTATGCAAAATGTATCCATAAAACACAACTCTTGTTCAGGTTTTAACGCCACTGCACAAAATGTACCCAAATACGATGCCGTTTCTGGTTCTTATCAATGTACTAAGAATTCGAATGTTGTTGTCCACACATGGAACACCTAATCCATGTGTCTTTATTACATTTTACAGTCACCGTACGCGTTTTGTATCTTTTTGGTATTTTTTAAAAATTTATTCTTCTTTCTCTTTTTCTTTTTTGTATTATTGTGTGATCTTTTCAAAGTGTTGTCATTTATACAGGCCTATCTAGATCAACACTTTATTCCATAATTTAGGACCCCACGGCAATTTCAAATTGCTCTGACGCGTCGCTTCCTCACCCAATTATAATCTTCTTGTAGCAAATTTCTAATTATAACCTTAATTTTTGGAGAGTTTAGTTTTTATTAAAGTGCTAATGACCCATAACAAAGAAAAGTACGAGAGTAGTGAGAGGCGATAAATCCGGAAATGTAAACGCATGTCAAGTTAATGTTTTACTTTTTGATAGCTACACGTAAGGTTTTTTTTGTTTCTTCTTCTGATTACTTTTGGATCCTTCTACAATATTTTCCTTCTTTTTTGCAAAATAGGTAGAGAGATTCATTAAAAGCCAAAAATTGAGAATTACGACTGAAGTTTTGCTTCTGTCCAGATATTGAAGTTACATAAAAAAGAAAAAAAAAATTCGAAAATGCCAAAGAAATTGAATTGAGCTTCCAAACGAATTTGATTTAACCATCAGGAAGGGTCCCTTCTTCATCCTCTAGCAACTTTAAAGGACCTTTATTCGAATAATAGAGGCATATAAGTTACTTTTTGATGGCCGATTTTTTGTTAGTGAATTATCTTCGTTTCGAAGTTTAATGCTATTCTTCACGTCACATATTGAATCTAAGCTGTTTATTGGGTTCTCTAAGTTTTGTTTATTTTTTCCAACGTGAGTCTGATTTTTACTAATTGAATAGAGAATAATTACACTAGGATATATGTATGTATTTCTGTCTCCATTGAATAATTGGAAGACCTTATCTTCTGTCCTTTAATGCACATGTGACATTTGACTGAAGGTATTATACAGTAAGGAAGACTCAAATCCAACTATACAAACCCAATATATATGGTATTAGTATTACTGGTCAACACTAACAAAAAAAGAAAAAGAAAAAAAAAAGTTTATCTACATACAGTACACCAGTCAAAAAAAAAATGGAAGAAAATTTTTTTTACTGAAATAGAAGAATTATCCAATTATTCTCTTTTCAAAACTAGAGAGAATTTGTTGTTTTTCCTCTTAATATGTGACTTTTCTATTCTTTTCCTTTTTTTTTTTCATTTACTCTACTTTTTTAACCACTCACACCCATAGTAATCTCTATTTACCACAGTTTTTTTTTTTTTGAATGGATGTAAAATTTTATTCTAACAAAAACTTTTGGTACAAATACAATAAATGCATCCTTTAGCTTAATGTTTTGAGAGATTAGAAACAGTTTTTATACATCAAAAACATTTACAGAGTGAAATCTTTTAAGACAACAAAATAAAATCCGCTAGGTATGTCCACATATTTTCCCTTCCAAAACAGTCGGTAATCAGTTCCCACCAACGATAACAAAGTTGAAAAATCCAAATTGTAATCCAATATCTAAAAAAGTTTACCTTACCACAAATAATCGGTTTGTTTCTAATTAAATTGTTTTTTGGGCTCATATAAAAAAAATGGCACCCAGTTGCTTAGCCATGTGGATTGTGGGGAGACAAATACACATTTCAAAGTGAACACAGAGTCGCTCGTGCCTCGTGGGTCCAGCCACCGACACTGACCTTTGTTTTCTTCTCTCTTATTCGTTTTCTCTAAATCTCTCTCTCTCTCTCTTACTGTAATAAACCTCTTTTTAATACGTGCCGACTCTCTACATAAACTCTACACTCAAATCTGTGTCTCAAATAGAGAGAGAGAGAGAGAGACCACGCCAAAAATACCTTTCTTCTTTCACCGGTTTTCATACCAAAAAAATGGCGGCCAATGCCTCATTCGCCGCCGCATTACTCATTGGACTCTCGCTTCTCTTCGCCGTCGTGGCGGAAGATCCGTACAGATTCTTCGAATGGAACATCACTTACGGCGATATCTACCCACTCGGAGTTCGCCAACAGGTACTGATCATTCTCTCGTACAGTTTAGTTAATTCCCTCCCGGTTTGGTTTATAGATCCCGGTTATTAATAATCTGTGGATCTCGCTGCACTTTCCGGTTTAGGGTATACTGATCAACGGGCAGTTTCCGGGACCGGACATTCACTCAGTTACTAATGATAATCTCATCATTAACGTCTACAATAGCCTCGACGAACCTTTCCTCCTTTCATGGTAACTATTTCTAAATCTTGTTCTAAATCTAAACCAAATTTCAAATCAACAAATTTTAAGTTTAATTCGATATTTTGGTCCCTATAATATTGAATTCTGTCGTTGTCGATTGATAGTAGTGGCTAGGTGTAGTAGTTATTTTTTCTTTTTCTCGTGGATAGTATTTCATGTCCTTTTTCAAAACAGTGATGTAAAAATAAAAACGTGTTTAAAAAAAAAAAAAACCCTGTGGTACGTAAAGATACACCTTATGTCGGACTCGGTCCACGTAATACTGTAATTAATTTATCCACAACGCGACATGATTAGTTGGGTGATTACGGTTAAATTCAATTACATCATATATTATTGTATAGTTTTCTGACTTTTGCTTAGCTTTCATATGCATGACAATTTCTGGACAGTGACTACATAATTTAAAACATTTACATGTGGGAAAATGGTCCACCTTACCAAAATTATTAGCTGTACACTCCTACGTTTGAGTTAACTTTTTATCTCCATGGTAGCACCTTTTTCAGGGGCATAATTTACAATTCATAATAGTTTGGGGTAAAATTGATTACTGCAGAATTTTAAGGGGCAAGATTAACAATTCATGATAGTTTTGGGGTTAAACATAAATATTTTGGAAAAAATTCGCAGGAATGGAATTCAGCAGAGGAGGAACTCTTTCGTCGATGGAGTGTATGGAACGACATGTCCAATTCCGCCGGGGAAGAACTACACTTACATTCTTCAGATGAAGGATCAGATCGGAAGTTTCTACTACTTCCCTTCTCTCGGTTTCCACAAAGCCGCCGGTGGATTTGGCGGTATCCGTATTCTCAGTCGCCCGAGAATCCCCGTCCCTTTCCCTGATCCCGCCGGAGATACCACCGTCCTTATCGGCGACTGGTACAAATCAAACCACACGGTAATTATTAGACCCATGTGATCTGATTTTCTCATTAACTTCATCAAATGAACTTAAAAGTGTTTATATACAAGATGCATAAGCTTAAAACAGAGTAGAGTGAAACAGAGTAACTAACTCCATAACGGACTTCAACTTATTTTCAATTTTGTGTGAAAATTGGTTTGTGTAGGATTTGAGGGCACAGCTTGATAGTGGTAAGAAGCTTCCTTTACCAGACGGTATCCTCATCAATGGTCGTTCAAGTGGTGCCACTCTCAATGTTGAACAAGGTTTCTTTTAACCCTTCCTCTTTTTGAGTTCTGATTGATTGAGGCATTACTAGAGTTTACACTGATGATGTGAGTTCTTATTCTTCTTCTTCTTCTTCAGGTAAGACATACAGGTTGAGAATATCAAATGTTGGGTTACAAGACTCTCTCAACTTCCGCATTCAAGACCATAAGATGAAAGTGATCGAAGTCGAAGGGACACATACCCTTCAGACTACTTTCTCTTCGCTAGATGTTCATGTTGGCCAATCTTACTCGGTCCTTGTAACTGCGGATCAAACTCCTCGAGATTATTACGTGGTCGTCTCTTCTCGGTTTACCTCTAATGTCCTCACCACCACGGGTATTCTCCGTTACAGTAACTCTGCTGGTGCTGTTTCTGGACCTATTCCCGGTGGACCAACCATTCAAATTGACTGGTCCTTGAACCAGGCTCGAGCCATCAGGTATACTAACTGTGCACATAAAAAAGCTTCTTGTAGGATTTGGTTGGTTGTGCCTAAAAGTTTTGATTTGTTATGTTTGTTTGTTGTAGGACTAACCTTACAGCGAGCGGACCAAGACCGAATCCACAAGGATCATACCACTACGGTATGATAAACACTACAAGAACAATCAGACTTGCTAGCTCTGCTGGTCAGGTCGATGGGAAACAACGATACGCTGTGAACAGTGTATCATTCAAACCAGCAGACACTCCTCTTAAAATCGCGGACTACTTCAAGATTGACGGTGTTTTCAGAAGTGGAAGCATACAATACCAACCCACTGGTGGAGGAATATACCTCGACACATCTGTTATGCAAGTTGACTACAGAACCTTTGTGGAGATTGTTTTCGAAAACTCTGAAGATATTGTCCAGAGCTGGCATCTTGATGGTTACTCTTTCTGGGTTGTTGGGTAAGTTTCATTCTTCCATTCATAAAAAGAGAGTTCTTGATCTTGATCGCTATAAGAAATTGGACTAAAGATGGTTCTTCTGATACAGAATGGACGGTGGGCAGTGGAGTCCAGACAGTAGGAACGTGTACAATCTACGCGATGCAGTCGCTCGCTGCACCGTGCAGGTAAACCACAGCTTCCACATACTAAAGCCACAATCTAATCAT